GTTTTTTTTTTTGTTTTTACTATTTTGAACAATCTTTCACATACATGAAATAAATTCTGCTCTTTATTCTGATGGCAGAATCTTTCTGGGCTCATTACTCATTATATAATTGAAAGAGTAATCTGTTTTCATTCACAGTGTTTATAAAGGATGTATAAAGGACAGTTTCTTTTGGATCTTATGTGTTGTTCCTGAGACATATGTCATTCTGAGATGACTTTTTTTCCATCCCAATTACCTTGTATAGTATCTAGTTCTTTTATACCAAGTGATCATTTCCATAAGGGTTTTCTCATATTCTTAATGACTGCTTCCAAGGCTGTGCCATTTCTATGCACAAGTAGTCTATACATGTTATCATAGATCTATGCTATTTAAAATAACAACAGAAAACCCCCTCTGAATCCTGAACTCACTTAGCCTTGAAGATCCACGTGGAAGAGCATGGTTTCTTTTTCTTGAAGGCACAACATTACTTTCATACCCAGGAAGAAATTCATTGTATAGACAATAAGAAAGAACAATTAAGAATTGTTCTTATAAATGGAAATGCCAAATAGAATTTCATCTACAGGCTGTTTTCCTGAATACTCATTCCCCTATGAGTTCTGGAAATTAAATTAGATGAATTGTGTTATTTAAATGAAATACTGAAAAAACTCTGAGCATATAGAAAATACTGTAAACTAGAAGCTTATTTGTCCTTGTTTGTACAACCTTTGGTTAACTGAGACTCCTGCTTAACTGAAAGTTGGTCGTGTCCCCTGACAGTCATATGCATTGTGTATTACTCCCCTGCTTATCCGGAGAGACATCTGAAACCTTCGGAATAATGGAGTTGTGGGTAAGTGGGTGAGCGCTGCGTGAAGCACATTGCTGTCTGGGGACATGACCAACTTTCACTTAACCAGGCATGTCAGTTAGCAGGAAGTTAGAAAAACACATTGCAGGAGATGAAGTGTGTGTGTGTGATTATTAGCTCTCTGCTGTTAGATGGTTTGTATCAAAGTACATATTCAGGAGAACTGCAAAACAAGTCTGCTCTTCGCAATTAACCAGGGGCTGCATGTCATTTGTGCTATGACCTTTTTTTTGTTAGTTGACCTTAAACGTAGCATACGTAAACAATAAAAGTCCTTGAAACTAAACATCTGAAGCTATTCTGCAGTATCAGGCTGCTTTTGGTTTATTCATTAAATTCAATTGAATTTTAATTGCAGTGTTAGATTCACAGCTGGTTAGGCTGGCTAGGTAGAGCAGCAATATCCCGCAAGCAATTCAAATGTGATAGCATATACGCTTTGTGATCGCAGAGACGTGTGCTCTCAGAGAGCAGTGGTAAAGGGCAAAGATGGCCAATAACAGCACTTCATTTCTGTAGTAGCAGCATCTGTTTAAATGATTGAGTGGCATTCACAAGGCTCTTTGGCTTTGCATTCTGTTAGGAGGATTGCAGCTGTAATACAAGGCTGTTTCTGGGAGGCAGGGGGATGCTTCTGAAAGGCTGACTGATTCCTGTCAGCACAGGTGATCCTCTGTGGGTGAAGGAACTCTAAGGTCATCCTCTGAAAACTCAGCTACCCTGTAGCTACAGAATAATGTGCTGCAGTGTTGCTCTGAGAGGAGGGACTGGCTCTGTGAGTGAAGGGAAGAAGAGCTATTCTCAGCCAGCAAAGCACAGTCAGTGGCTCCTGGGTGGTTTGGATGTCGGAGAATGCCTGAATCTATTGTTAAATATTTGCAATGCAAAAGAGAATCTGTGTCTCATGATGTAGGTGACCAGGAGCTTGGGTGTTGCAGTGAGAGGTGAGGTATACAATAATAGATGAGAATCCAGTGTTGTTATAACTCTAGCAATGGGAGATGAAAATTAAAGTGTTCGGAGTGGTGCTTCCATCTGCCTTCTGGTACTCTGGAGAGAATGGGTCTAGGATAGCAGCACAGGAGAGACTGTGATATTAAGGACTGCAGCTTCTTACCTCTTTACACATCTCTAATGAGAATATATATTATTTAAGAATTCAGTTAACAACAAATGGGGAAAGGAAGGCATGGAGCATGGCAAGAGAAACAATGTTGGTAAAAATGTGTGTTTAAGTGCATTTAGATCATACCCAGTAGTTTTACTTTATTTAGAGAAGTACTTAGTGTAGGGTCTGAGAGACTTAGAAATACAGTGAAGTTGACAATAAGAGATACTTTGTCCCTGCAAACAGGGTCTTTAGCACAGACAAGTCAAGCCTTGTCAAGCCACCACTAAAACATAGGCGTGTGCAGACGTGGTATAAAATTATTCCTTGGAGCCTACTACTGCGTTCTTGGACTTCACGTGTGAGGTTGCATATCTAGATGTTAGTAGCACTTAATACTGCCTTTTAAATCAAGTGTGTTCATAGATCCTTACTTTCTTTTTTTTTTTCCTTCCAAATTATAGGATTAAAGAGCCCCTTCAGGACAGTGTAATAGCCACCTATGAAGAACATGAAGATAGTGTATATGCAGTTGAATGGTCCTCAGCAGACCCGTGGCTATTTGCTTCTTTAAGTTATGATGGGAGACTTGTTATTAACAGGGTTCCCAGAGCTCTTAAATATCACATACTGTTATGACTTGTTTGGATCGTGGTGGAGTTGTTATGTTGATGTACACAATTGGTAGGTATCGTTTAGGGGTTGGGGTTTGTTTTGTTTTTTTTTTTTCAGGATCTGTTTTTACTAAGTATAAATGATGAAATTTTGTTAATATATGTGCTAATGTAGACACTTTTGTCTTCTGTATTTGCCTTGGAAACTATGATGCATTTTCTGAAGGCTGTTCTAGTTAGATGTTTTGCTGAGGTTTTGGGTTTATTTTGTTTTAGGGGGCTAATCACTTTGTCAACTACAGAGTTTCTGGAGATAATGGGTACTTCCCATACTATCACTATATTACTTCAGCTTTATGCAAATATAGTGCATTACAGAGTTATTATTATGCTGATTTAAAAGTGGAACAATGTAGGGTGCATGGAGTAGAAGTGATCTCATTTACAAGAATAATATTTTCTTTCTGATGTACGCAGCTTTCTGCTCTTAGCTAGGGCCACGTTCTGCTAATGATTCTGGTCATTCTTCAGTGTTTATAAATACAGTTTGGAATGGTCTTTTAAGGCTTTCTTAATTCAGTCTAATATTTTAGACACTTTTTCTACCATTTTGCATATCCTAAGAAGAAATGCTAATTGTGAAGGGGAAACCATCAAAATATATATTGCATTTAAACCTTATGGCTGTATCAACAAAGTACCATCCTGTAATTTGCAAACTAAATGCAATTTTGAGCTGTGTGTTATTGGAATCAGTAGTAGTCTTTACCAAAATCTCTTGTATACTCATGTAATGTATTATCCCACATTTACAAAACTTGTGTGTGCTGTAATATATTTTGAGGGACTCTGGAGCTATGCCATTGTTAACCTGAAAAATCTCCTTAATATTTGTAAGTAGTCTCTCTTTCTTACCCTTTTGGCTCTGTGCCATTCTGTAGTAAGCTGACATGATGTAACAGGCTTTTTAACTAAGCACAAAATAACCTTTGCTATATCCTACTCTTTGCAATACCTGCCCTTAGCCATTGGTGACTGTCTTGTTACAGATGCTGAGAACAGGCAGATGCTGCTCTTCAGGAGAATGCAGGGAAATCTTGAAATGGAAGGCATGGTGAAACACGCCTATATGTGCTGACACCCACCCTTCTCTTTGCATAGCTTGCATTAAGATGGAAATTCTGCTGTTTATTCTTTGTGTACTCGGTACACAGCAGTAATTTATTCCCTGTCACCTTTTCATTGCTATTATTTCCCATTAATTTTAGAACCTGGGTATGGGTGGTGGTGTCGGTTACAGTAGCATTGTGTAAGACCACTCTGAAGAAATGGCAATGAATATGGGATGGAAAGATCAATCCCAGCCTCTTCCAGTGATTCATCCTGTTGCTATGGCAACTGTTGGTATTAGGGTTGAGGGACAGCCTGCTGCTCACCTCTGTTTGTCCTCACCCACTCTTGGATCGAAACATGTTCAAATGTGGTTTGTTGTGTGTACACAGCTGCTTCAGTGAGATCACACTTTGAGAGCATGACTGACTGCTGTAAGCCAAAACATCCAGAAAAGATGGAAGTTGACTTCTCTTTTTCTGGCTTTCTTAAAGAGCTTGTTTGGAAGAATTCATAGGAGTGAAGTAATCCAATTAAATCATCTGTATTATTGTTTGTATTTATGTTACAATGCTGCTTTTCTGCTCCAGAATGAATACTTTGTTGGAAATTCTGATGGTCTGATTTTCTGCTTTAAGATTTTAAACTTGTGTTATTTCGAATTGTCTCAGTCTGTAATTAGGCATGAGCTGAGCTATTCACCTGTACACTGGGAGAAAAATTACATTTCCAAACCAGTAGTGCTTCAGTTGTCTATCAAAATCCTTGGCTGGGCTGCAGCTGTATATGTGGAGCTTTCAATCTTCAGACAGCCTTGTTGGTTCTTCATGTTGTGGTGTTGTCCTCCCTGCTCTCTCCACACCCCAAACAACAAAACCGACCATCCAATTAAAAAAAAAAAAAAGGCAACTAAAAAGACCCACCAAAACCCAAACTAAACAAACCCTACCAAAACAAGCACCCATCCTACAGCAGGACTCTTTAAACTTTCTTCACATTAGCAATAAAGGTCTAATGAAACTTTATTGTCTGTTAATGTATAAGGATACCAGTGTGAAGGTGATGGGAAATTACATAAGAGTATGTGGGATTTGATATTTAAAATATAATAAATATGGGACAGCTTTCACACTGTATTTTATGTGGCTGTGTTTCCTTTAATATTGTAAACTTATAAAGGCTGGAAAGCTCTGTAAACAAGTAATACCAAAAAATTTTTTGTATTTTAGTTTTGTAAAATGTGTGTGTTGATAGGGAAGAAGGGAGGGGATGACAACTGGAAAGGAAGGAAGTAGCAGGTTGAATTTGAATGAAATCAAGAGAGCAGGAAGGGTCAAGTTTTAATCATTTTCAGCTGTTTGTAAAACAGGATCTGAGCTATGTGTACAGAACCAATAGCAATATTGAAATGACCTGCAGAAAGGGAAGACTTTTGAAAAGGTTTCATCCCAGGCTGTTAGAGAAAGCAAGCTGCCGTAGGATAAGAGGAAGGGTTCAAAGACGGTTAAATAACTGATTAAAAGATAAGAAATAGGAAGCAGGAATAAATAGTCACATTTCACAGCAAAAAGAAATTGCCAAGGAAGTCTGCAAGGATCTGTGCCTAGGCCTGTGCTTCACAGTATATTCATGACCTTTTGGGTAAAAGGGCTGCATAAAAATGTGTCAAAGTTTGCAGGTACTGTTCAGAGTAGTAAAGATCACTGAAGAATTATGGAAGGGCCTTACTTCACAGAGTGGCTGGATGATAAAACAGTAGGTGAAATTCAGTGCAGGAAATGTGAAGTAGCAGATATGGCAGAAAATAGTAATTTTCTACCAAGATATAGCTATGATTTTGAAGTAAGGTTAGGGTTTTCATAGATTTTGAAAGGTATCATCTTAATAGAGGTTAAAATTGTAATTCAGATGTTGGGAATTACTAAAAAGCAAATAGAGAAGAAAATAAAGCATTGCTGGTCTGTGTGCCTCTTGAATACTGTGTGTAGTTCTGGTTTCTTCCATCTGAAGCCCAGTGTAGTAAAACTGGGAGAGGTTTTAGGGGACGGTGACAGGAATGATGAGTAGCATGCAACACCTGTATGAGGATAACTAAATAGACTGAAAGGCAGGTGGTTGAGAAGAAATGATAAAAGTCCATAAAATCACAAGTGGTAGAGGGAGAACATGAATAGGGAGTGATTGTTCACTGTGTCTCCTGATACCAGAACTAGAGGTTATTAAATGGAATCTGCATGTGGTGGCTCCTGGCATACAAAATGAGGTGCTCTCCACAGGCATGAAGGTGAGCTGTGGCACTCCTCTTTAACAATCCCTTCTCCCTGAAAAAAAAAGCAACACCAAAACACCCAAAGAAACAAACAAACAAAAAATCTCATTAACATTAAAGTTTACATGACCTGAAAGTAACTGAACTGGTACTTGAAAGATGAATCCCTTAAAGGGTGCTGAATATAAAGACAGCACCTCTGGCTTAGAAAATCCTTTTGAACCATGAATCGGTGGACACTACTAAGAGCACTGGCAGAGAATCCCTGTATGTTTGTCCAGTCTTGCCTTACCTCCCTGGACTTTTTGTAAGTCAATCTGGGTAAAAGGGGAGAAATCTGGTGGATCTGTTATCATTGAAAAGTCTATTATGAAAAGCGCAAATTCATTCACAATGGGAGCTGTTTAATCCTTCACAAAGCAAATACCAGAGAGCTTCAACAACTGTTCTGACCATACTGTCAGTTGTGAGTGACAGTTACTTGGATTCGGTTTCCTAGATGGATGCATATTTCTGATCTGTGTTTTAATCATCTATTTTCAGTGTTAATACTATTTGAATATCTTCAACCTATTGTTTGAATGACTTGGATAAATGCTGTACAGTTTTCTGTTACAGTTCACAGGCGCTTCTTGTAAGAAAGAGGGAAAAGCTGCTTTTGTTTTTAAGTCTTCATGCTGCTGTGTTGGTAGGTATTCTGGTTTCTGTTACCGTGTCCTATACGTCAAGGCTCAAATCACAGTTTAAATTCTACAGGTTTTGGGCTGGTCATTGCTGAGGGCTGAGAAGAGCTGTGGATGAAGGCTGAGCATGACTGACATGTTCATATTCATCAGAAAACAGTCTGCTGGAGAGAATGAGGGAATAATTGTTGCACTGCTCCCTCCCTCACTGCTTGTGCATAAAGACATAGGCTGCAGTGAGGAAGCTACCTGAGGTTATTAAGATTAATACTGCTAGAAATTCCAATCAACTCACACAAGGCTGCTCCTCAAGGCTGTCAGATGCCTACTGCCTTCTCTGATTCAGGTGGGGCCACATCAATTTCAAATTTCCCAACAGAGATTGCTATGATTTATGAGTTTAGGAGGCTGATAAATGTGGTTAGTTGAAGTGTTCATGAAATAATTGAATCAGAATAATTTCCATCAGCTGTGCTCAATTTGTTTTCTCCTGTAACCACAGGAGGGTGCAGTTTTGAATTGGGAGCTTCATCTCAAGGATTCCTGTCACAGGAAAGACATTGTGGAACCTGGAATAAGAGCAACTTAATTTTGCTGCCAGGCCTGTATGACAGCCTTATGAGCTGACTTAAGACCCGTCAGAACTGGAGAGTAAGTACCTTGCGCTCTTCTGGTATTGCCCCTGACAGAGACTGAGTCAGTTCTGGTTTATGCATTATGGTATAACATCTGCTGGCAAGAATAATGAGAGTTTTACTATTAGTGTTTTAAAAACACTTTACTGTTTAGTTGGGAGGTTGTTGTTTTTTTTACACTTGCTTGTAGCAAATTATTTTTTTATATGACGAGTTTTATATATTTTTCACTTCCAGGTTGTGAATTTTTCTGGTGTGGTTATCAGCATCAGTTCTGCCCTTACCGTGAAGGGAGTGCTCATGCACCCCTGAAGAGTGTTACGTGAAACTTTTCAAAATAAATTTCTCCCTATGAGTTTATAATTTGTCTGCTGTAACTTTCCTGCGTAGCTGAAAAAGAATCACATTTTGGATGGATTGTCCTAGAAAGCATACTGAATGTAAAGGGCCCTGTAAAACAGGAAGGTGAGCAGGTTAAAGTGTTGTGATGGCTGGTGGAGGTCAGTAGAGAATGGGAAAGCCTAGCAAGCAGAGGTAGGGATGAAGGAGAGCAGGCAAATATTTTCGTGTTGTCATCGTCATGAACAAAATATTTATAATAATCAGAGCTGCAAAGTCAGAGGGGAGGGTATGTGGGAAAAGGCAGTGGTTTGGGTGTCCCCCTGTGCGAGTCAGTTCACGTTATCTTTTGAAATGTGCAAACAGGATACAGGCAAAAAATGAACAGGCTATTAGGCCTAGCACTAGTGTAATCCCATTCTGGTAAGTGAATTTTGCTGGTCAGGAAGTTGTCAGTAGACTGGGGAAGGGTTGTCTTCTGTGCTGCTTGGAGCACAGTTGTACAGTTGCTATCTTCCAGGTCCATTTATCCCATTAGGATTTCTACCTTTGCATTTGGTGTCCTTTCCCTATTGAATTCCTTGAGTTGCTAACATTTCCCGCTGCAGCAGTATTACCTCTCTGTGCAGTTTTATGTTTATCATGTGTGGCTTGTCCCCACAGACTTTTTTACGACCTTTTCTCACAACTCATCAGCTTTTTCAAAAGTCATAAAGTCATACCTATAGCTGGACAGCATGCCAGCTATAGATGACAAAGGGTTGCTGAGAGAGCAGCTTTCTCAGGAGTCCTCCTCTGTGTAAGGTTAAAATGGGCAGGTGTATTCTGTGGTGAGCCAGGTATGTAAGTTGCCAGTAGAGAGGTGCATTACTCTAGATGGTTTGTATCAGCATAGATATCCTGATGATCATATGACATAACCTGGCCTACATGTGAACTGTTCTCTGGGCACCCATGGCTTCTCTGGGCACCCATGACTGAAGAGCTATGGAGGAGGTAATTTTACCATGTGGTGAAGAACGGCCCTACACATGTAGAGGAAGAAATATATCTGCCTGAGCTGTTATTTTCAAAGTTCCCTGGCCTGGGAACCCAAATATTCTAGGATTTTTCATTAACTTAAAGTTTATTTTCTTTTTTATTATTCTTTATCCTGTCCATGATCTTGATTTTGGGGAAGGGGGTGGCAGAATATGGGGGAAACACTAGGATCTGGGAGTGAGGTATTCTGACTGCATAGAAAGATTTGTGACCCTAATGTCAAGTGGTACATGCTTTATAGCCCATTAAAGCAGTTTGTGTGGTGGAGCAGATCAGACTTTGGTGTTTCAGACACATCAAACAGCAGTATTGAGGAAGCAGCTGGTGCACTCAGTTTGTATTGGAAAGTTAGTGATACACTGAATAACAGAGTCCTGTTAAAATTCAGCTACCCAAGTTTGGTGACTTTTCTGTGAGTACATATTAATTCCAGGAATTAATTCCTGGTGGTTCTTTTGTCCCTAATGGTGGTTCTTTTGCTTCCAAATAATTTGGTACCACCCCAACATACTGTAACTTATTTCTGTAAATTTTATAAATGCCTGTTTTGTATAGCTTAAAGAATGTCCTATGGGGTCCAGGATCTCTTAGTGACATGTGCTCAGTATTGTGGCAGCATTATCCTGTCCAGGTGTATAGGATTAGCTTAAGAGAAAAATGTTGCCTAAGGCTTTACCTTCTTCCCTTTTTCACTGTCAGCAGTTAGGAAGATGCTTCAATGAGTAACTCTTACTGAATCTCCTTGCTGAGGTCTCCTTGCCGTGAAATGTAAGCTGTATCAGAGAAGGGTGAGGAGGACATTTTGGAAAATCTGCTGCTTAGTCAGGATGTGCATATAAACTACAGAACATTTTCCAAATCAAATTTGGATTTGGCACTTAGCATAAAATCAGGGCACAGAATAACTACTGTCTGTGCAGAAAATGTTAATAGAAAAAGTCCAGATTACGGTAATGCATTCTGTGTGTGAGTAAAGAACAGTAGAAGGGCACGTGGCAGGACTGTCTCACTTGTGGTTTTGCTTCTACTGCTGTGAAAAGCATTTTCAATACTTGCATAATTTAGAGCATGACATTATGATTTTCAGAGCTTCAAACTGGAGTAAAGCATTTACATAATCTAATTAAATCATATAAATGTTTTATAATAATATTCGAGTAAGTGCAAAACTTGTTCCACAGATGCATCCTATTCTTAGGCCATTGGGGAAACCTAGTTTACGAATGCAAATGTATGTTTCAAGCCCTGCATGCTTTGGGAGGTCAACAGGGTACTTACTGAGTGCTCTGTTCTTTGCATAACCTCCAAAGCCTGCTTCGCAGAGCATCATCTTTCCAAGAAGCTTGAAGGTAAGCTGGTACCAGAGGGAAAGGCAAAGCAGATTTAAAAGGCTACTTGCAACCTCTTGTAATTTGAATGAAAGCGATGCTACTGCAGTATGTAATAAATTGCTTCCATTTCAGTGAACATTAAAATAATCCCGTGGTGACCCTCTTAGCAGCAGCCCTGCCACATGTAGTATCAGATCTCACAAAGCATGCATCGTACTTCGATGGGAAGCTACCAGGGGAAGCCCCACAAATCCTCCTGGTGACTTTTGGGTTTGTTTTTGCCTCTGGCTGCACTGACTCACAAAATATTGGAAGTACTTGGCCAGCATCCATGATGAGAGATGCTCCCTAGTAGTAAGATTATTTAAATAATATTTTTTACCTGCACATTCTCACTAAGCTGTCTTCAACAATAGTTCTTAGTGAATCCTGTCTTTGCTAGGCCATACTACTGCAAGAAGCAAGTGAATTTAATCCTAATTTTTCAAATGCAGCCAAGCTAATGCTAAGCTAATGAGTTGCTTTTAGAAAGTAAAGCACTGCTGTGCTAAACTGAATTCATGTAATTGGCAGAGGTAGGTTCTTGAAGACTGGGGTCCTATCTGTTTTAAATAAGCTCATTGCCATTGACGTTTATCAGTGCTCTACTGATTTATTCTAAGTGATGACAGAAATGTGTGTATATACTGCCAGATGTTCTGTGCTTTCACAGTAATTATAATGGTTAGGAAGCACTTGGATGTTATCTGTGCCAGGATGTTGATGAAGCCCATGTGCTGTTAGAAACAGGACTGACTGCACACACGATTTTGACCTGGTTTGTGCATACACTGTGACTGTGGTGAGCCCAGCAGCTCTGATGTTTATCTGAAAATGTGGCTATTTTAAGGAAAGGCTGGATCTAACATACCTCTCAATCTGGAGATTCTATTATTTACTGTTACAGTACATAATAATATCCAGTTTGTAAATTAGTTTGGAGCTCAGTGGCATGGAAAGCTCTGAATAGGTGAAAGTCATTGCTGAAGTAGCTCACAGAAGGTGAAATATATCAGTAGTGAATTAAGTCTTTACTAATTAGATGTAGGAATCTAATTACTTCACAGATTTTTTGTCTACTTTAAAGAGAGGAAAGCTAGTGTAAATTTAAAATAAAAGGTGAGATGCTCAGCATGTAGTGTTAACTGCCAAGGAGAAAAACACGGTGACCTTATTTGCAGCTGCACATGCATCATATGTAGGAATGCCTGTCATAGCCATAATGATTTAACATCAGGGCAGGCCAATATTTCTTGGTTCTTCCTCCGCAGTGTAGGCAGTTTCCCTTATAGGTGGAATGGGAAGCTGTAGGTGTTTCTGGTGAAAAATGGTTAATGCTAGAGAGGTGCCCTTCACACAAATCCATCACAATTTGCTTTAGTTCACCTCCTGAAAGAGAATTTGCAAAGTCACAGCCTGGGATTGAAGTCACAGGTGGGTGAAGTTTTAGTTTTGTCATTCTGGTTTTTTAGGTTGCTCAGCTGTTAATTATACAATGTTTAAGCACAGTAGGGGATACTGGGGAAGTTAAAAGCTGCTAATTTTTTTTTTACGGTGCCAAGACTGTTTCATTGCAAAAAGGAATTCTTTTAGTTTAAAACCTGCAATATTACGGTCATAGTAGATACTGTAAATTTAGACATACAAACACGTAGAGGTAAGTTTAACTCCAAACACTAAGACATTTACCTTAGTACAGCTGTTCATACTTAAGGCATTTTGTAAGAGTACAAGTATTAACTGCCACTAAATAGCCTGTGTGAATTACTGTTAATAGTTCCATAGTTCCCTTTCAATTACCTTTCAATACTATATTGACCTTGAGCCTGTTATATCACATATTTAAACTCTACTAAAGGATATGGGTTCACAATCTTTAAAAATTTGTGGGCACTTACTCATCAGGCTTTGTAAGCAGCTGATCCACAAGCATCCATGGTCACAGGATCACTTCCAAAAGACCACAGCTGCTGTTAAACTCTTCATGGTTTGTGTTTCTATCACTGCTCACCTGAGGCATCTATACTTCAACAGAAGGCAGAGCATTTAAATCAGATCTTTTAATTGCTAAAATTTGTAATTTAGGTTGCAGATCAGTGGTATTTGTAAATTCTTTTTTCCAAATTATCATAATTTTTTAGAAGAATTTGATCTGAAAAGTTTGGCAGAAAGTACATAAATGGATCAGCTGAGACAAACTTTAATCCTCTCTGCACCCATACAGAAAACTCATTCAACCTTAGCAGTATCCCTGGATGTATATTAA